AGAATTAGATATAATTTCACCATTAAACTTATTGGTATTACCATTATGCATTACAATTATTGCTTCAAAAATATAATTAAGTGACCATGCTTTGATGAATATACTACCCCATGATTTGGTACCCAAGTATTATTCGTAGTATAATGTAAATAATAATATGATTTATACAAAAAAACTTCTAGCCTAGTTGAAACTTTGTTTTTCCTTATAAGTTTTTAAACTAATATTGTAAATAATTATTATGAAAGGTAACATTTGCTGGTTATTCATGCAATATATTTTAACATTCACCACAACTGTAATAATATTCCAATGTATGAAGTATACAAAGTAATTACCATTTTGATAATTTATAATCATTTTCTTTGAGCTTTTATCATAATGTTTATGTTAAAAGTAGAATACCAGAAGTGTTTGCAAATATAATAAAACTTTGTAAAAGTTCAGAATTGTTATGATCAAGCTTATATTTTGGCTGAACCATGGTTTTTTGTGTTTGAAATTATCCATTTTTTTTTTTTATTTTGTTCAGCAACTGCATGCATAATTGTAGCTTCTCCAAAATTAAGAACTGCAGTAATCTCCTTGTATAATAATAGGATATGATATTACTTTTAGCATTATTGAACATTAAAAAAGTATTGATGGATATTACAAATTATCTTTCATTCATTATTAGTTAATAAACCTCTATTTCTAGTCAAGTCATTCATGAGAAAAAAATATGATAAAGTTTATAAGCTATTTAAACTTTAAACACAACCTAACCTTTCATATTATTTGAATATCTAAATAACATAATTGTCTGATTTTTAATCAAATGAAAAAATCAGGTAATGATTTTTATGTACTAAACTTTTTGCATCTGACTATAAATATTTTTAATATAATAAATATAATTTTATTTTGGAAAAAAGCACAAATTTATATAATATAAAAATTCTTTTTAATAAAAAAATAAAAAAATAATTATTAAATAAACTAAAATATAATCTAATTTTCTATATTAGTATATCAAACATATCAAACACTACCTTCATTTGAATTAAATTTAGCTATACTATGTATAGCTTATATTCATTATTATTATATAGACTTTTATATCATTTTAATAATAATATTGTAAAATCTTGAAATTAAGCACTCTTTTTTTGTAATCTTATAATCAACAAAACTGGTAGAAATACTTAATTTTAATTATCATCTGATCTATTATAAAAAAATTATACAGATGAATTAAATAATCATTATAAAATAGATAAAGTATAATCATGTTATAAATTCATTATAAATAAATTTATTTTAATTTTATAAAACTTATATTAACAACTACTGTATTATTTTATAAATGTATGCTTATTTTTAAAGATGCTTAATTTCAAAATTTAAAGTATTATATAATAATAAATTTTTTAACTAAACTAATTTCAAAAAAAACCCCATTACAACTTCATAATTTTCAGCATAAAATACTGTAACTATTATTTGATCATCATTTAAATTAACTTTTTATTTATATATATCAATATTATGACTAAAAATTTCAAAAAATTTCGATAAATGATATTGCAAATTAAGATCGAAGATAATGTATATAAAAAAGACATGTATTACATCAGAAAACTAAGTTTTTTAATATCTTTGATATAGAAGTAGAATTTACTTGATTATATCCAAACTGTGTATTTTTCAATATTTCACTAGACTTCTGAATAAAAAATCAGGTGATTCACAATTTGATAGGCTACAAAAATTTTACTATGCTTAAAAGATACGTGTTAATTATCAAATATATAAAAAAGATCAAAAGATAAATAAAAAAGGTATTCAAATTAGTGAAGAAAGATAATATCTCTGCTTTGATTTAAGCTTCTAAAAAAATGGAAAAAATCAATTAGTAATATAATAGTAATCCTTTAGAATTAAACTGAACATAATTTAATGCTATAAAATATACTTAATCATTTGAGTAATGATATTGGTTATAGATGTAAAGGTAAATTTGATTAGAATTTTTGTATAGTTTTTATTTTATTTAAGTAGAGCAAATAAAGGGATTATTTAGTAAAACTTACCTCCTTTTTATATTAGATGTAACAGCATATATATATTAGCTATAAGCTTCATAATTACTCTACTATTAATTATGTTTAAAATATAATGAAGATATTTTATAACAAATAAATTATTTATCATTACAAATATATAATGATAAAGTATAATTTTTTTTAAAAAAAAGTAAAAATTATTAGTAAAAATTTATTTTTATTTAATTACATGTGTTATGCAATTTAAAGGGTTTAAAATTTAAAAATAATAACTTTTTATGAGTATTATCAATATTAAGGTATTAGAAAATCACAAAAATAAATAAATTTTGATGATATTATGCTAGTAAAATTATAATTTAAGGAAAATATGTAATATTTGCTAATTATTATTTAAAATTACTTCAAATCACAACATAACTTTAATTGCAAATTATTGATGATTAAAAAATTTTTGCATAAAATTTTTTTTAGATTAAATATTATTATTTAATTTGGAAAGATTAGTTAAAGAAAAAAAATACTAATAATTTTAATAAATAATATTTATTAACAAATTTTATTTTAAATATAATTATTTATTAGCATTTTTCTTTATTTTTAAATATATGGATAATTAATTTAATTTATAAAATTTATTTTAAAATATAATATTCATCAAATTTATTTAATTAATTTAAAGTTAAATTATAATATGAAAAGATCTTAATTATAAAAAATCTTCTAAAAATAACCTAAATGTAAATTAAAAAATATTTAAAAAAATTGTTATATATAATTCAATATATACACTGGTAGAAATAGGTATAAATCGGTTAAAAATCAGACAGACGATTGATGGATGATTGATGGCTGATTTAGGGTTGATTTATATTAATTCTGATTAATACAATATAAGTCAATTGGAAATATTAATCAGTCATCAATTAGCTAACTAAAATTAGTCTAAAAACTACCTAAATTTGATCATCAATCAATCTAAATCAGCCTAAAATCAGCCAAGCAAATCGGAATTAAAAATAACTAATTTATATTTATTTAAATTTTATTAATTTTATAATTTTATAATTTTATTATTTTTACATAATTATTGTGATTTTTTTAAGAAAAATAAAGAATTATTAAAAATCCACTTCAAAAGTCTATTTCAATTGACCTATATAAGATTTATTTATAAAAAAATAAAGTAAAATAAATGAAAAAGTTAAAAATTCCTTCTTAAAACTACCTTTGATTGAATTATTATAGTGTATTTCTAAAGAATATAAAGAAAAAAAAGAAAAGGTTAAAAAATCCAAACAAAAGTCAGTCACCTTCGATTTACTTACCAAGCTATGAAATTTCCCAAAAAGTCATTAACGATTTGCTTACCTTAATTTCAAAATGTGAAATTTCCTAAAAAAAAATAAGAAAAAGAAAGGAAAATTGTAAATTTTCATCCAAAAAGTCATCAACAATTTGTTTACCTTAATTCCAAGATGATAATTTTCCTAAAAAAAAAAGAAGGGAAAAATCTACCTAAAAGTTACTTCTGATTTACATTACTTATTTTCAAAAATAAGATATATTTTAAAAAGACAAGAAATCTAGAACAAAAAATTCGTCTAAAACTTGCTAGCGATTTATTTATCTTATTTCCAAATAAGAATTTTCCTACAAAAACAAGAAAAAGAAAGGAAAATTCATCCAAAAACTTGTTTCAATTTACTTATTTTTAAAGTGAAAATTTTCCTAAAAAAAAACAAAAAAAAATAAGGAAGATAGTAAATTTTACTCAAAGAATGATTTATCACATTTTCGAAATGAGAATTTTCCTAAAAAAATAGTAAAAATCTTTAAGATAAGAAAAAAAATATAGAAAAAAGAAAGGAAAAGGGTTAAAAAAAAGGAAAATTTTTTTCAGATTAATCCAAAAGTTTTCTAGCCAATTGGATGATTTTTGTATTGTCCAATTAAAACATCATTTCTATTGAATGATTTGTATCGTCTCTTAGGTGACGATGATTTGATCGTTCCAATCGAATCATCTGATTAAAACAATGATGTTGATTTGAACGATAGTATATTGTCCTAAAGGGACGATAATTTGATTGTTCCAATTGAATGATTTTGCATTATCTGATTAGAGCGATGAATTGTTCAAATCGAATGATCATTATTCCAAAAGGAACGATATTGAACCATTCTTATAAAATGATAATCGTTCCAAAAGAAACGATTTTTATCATTCAAATCAAACGATAATTATTCCAAAGGAACGATGTTAAATTGTTCTTAATGAATAATGATGTATCATCTCTTTGAGATGATTTTTTTTATCGTTCAATAAGAATGATGATGTATCTTTTCTTTGGGATGATTTTTTTGATCTTTCAATAAGAATGATGATGTATCGTCCCTTTGGAATAATTTATTTAAATCATTCTTAATGAACAATAATGTATTGTCCCTTTAGGACGATTTTTTGATCAATAAAAACATTATTCTATCATCCCTTTGGGACGTTTTTTAAATTGTTCTTAATGAATGATGATCTATCGTCCCTTTGGGATGATTTTAATTGTTCTTATTGAAACAATAGATTTATTGTCTCTTTGGAATGATTTTTTAAATCTTTCTTCTTGAATGATAATATATCGTCCCAAAAAGAATGATTATCTTTATCATTTCTTAGAAACGATTTGTATCTTTTTTTAAGGACAATTTCTATTGTTCCTTTGAGACGAAGTTTCCAATTGAACGATTTTTGCATTATCCTATTGAACTAATCAGAATTGAAATTTTGGCTTAACTCCAATTGCCATAAATCAGACAGGTTGATTTAGGTTGATTTTTGACTGATTGATGATTATGTCTGATTGATGGATGATTGATAGACGATTTATCATATGTCCGATTTTTTTGATTTTGACTAGTAATATATATATATATATATATTGTATATATTATGCTTCAAGTGTAATTTGTCTTAGATGCTGATGGAATACTAAATATAATAATGATAAAGATGATCATCAGTAATGCTGCTCAGTTATTATAAAAATGGACCAGTAATTTAGGCCAGTTGATATCTGAGGCAAATTGATACATGACGCATAACATATACACTCTACTATAATACTTCCTAATGTGATAAAATTCTATTTTTGATAAATAATCCTCTTTATCAAAGTTAGCTAAGTAATTTATTGTATTATATTATATTCAACAGATTATAAATAATTATTTTTAGTTTTAGAATAGATTTTAGTAAAAAAAACTTCAAATAGTTAAATTAATAGCAAAAACTTAAAATTATATTTATACAAATTCAAGTAAAAATTTAAATCATATTAGTAATATATTAACAATAATGATATTTAATAAATGTTTGATATTATTTATGAGAAAAAAATTAATCAAATATAATCAATAATAATCTAATTTTATTTGAAATTGAAAATAAATAATTAATATTAATAATACTTAAATATTAAATAATTCATAGATATTGAATTATAAATATTAATTGATAATATTGTATTATTAATTTTATTTTATAAATATAATTGTAATAAAAATGATTAGAATTAACAATTAAATTCATATTTTTTTAATTATTAATTTTATTTTATATAGTTTTATAATTATATAATTTTATATATATATAATAAATATTAAATATTAACCAAATTATTTTAATAATAAATTTATTTTTATTACAAATTTGTAAAATTACAATTTATATATAAAGTAGAATTATGAATTTGTAGAAAAATTGAAAACTTGCTAAATGAAATGCAAATTTGCAAGTTGCAGACTTTCTGATAAATTATTAATTTATAGATATGTTATTAATTTACTGCTAAATTAAAAATTTACAAATAAATTACAATTTTACAGAACTTATAAATATAATTTTTAAATCTATAATATTTTAACTTTAAATCTATAACTTAATCTGCAATTAAAAGTTAAAAAGTTAGCTTTATAAATCAGTATTCTTAAAATATTTTTATAAGTTTTAATAATAATGATTTTTTAATATAGTAATTATTAATATTTTTTAAATAAAAAATATTAAATAATAATAATTTAAATATTTATTTATTAAGTTTTTTTTTCAAAATAACTACTTTATATTTTTAATTTAAAGATTTTTTAATATTTTTATTCATAATTATAATAAATATAACTTAGTTATAACTATTATAAACTATCTTTAAATACTAAATTATGAGTTGTAAGATTTTTAATATTTTTTATCAACTTCATTAACTTCGTTAATACTTAAGTTTTTTTAAAAAGATAAACAAATTTATATAAATTTCTTAGAATTTTATTAAGTAATTAAGTAATTTATAAATAATAAATTATATTTCTATTAAAATACAATTATAATGGTTTAATACTTGATTAGATTATTATTTATATTAATTATTATTTGAATTATTAAGAAATATAGAAACTTTATTAGTAAAATCACATTATTAGATGTTCATTATTTGAAGATTTATATTATTATAACTTGTTACTAAACATTTATTATATTATAATATATAAAATAGTTATTTAATACTATGTATCTTATAACTGCAACATTATTATGTTTTACTAATTTTTTTAATAAGCAAATATTACAGTTATTCATCACTTTATGCCAGTGTTTGCCAAATGATTATGACTGGCAAATGACTCAAATGACAAATGACAAATGATTGGTCATTTGGATGTTCAA